ATAACTACAAATACAGGCAAAGTGGGTGGCACGGTGACTCAGTGGTTAGCACTTTCGCCTCACAGCAAAAAGGTCGCTGGTTCGAGTCCTGGCTAGGCTAGATGACATGTGGGGTTTGCATTTGTTCTCCGCGTGTTTGTTTTGGTTTCCTCCGGGTGCTCCAGTTTCCCCCACAGTCCAAAGACATGCGGTATAGGTGAATTGAATAAGCTAAATTGGCTGTAGTGTATGTGTGTGTGTAAATGTGAGAATGAATGGGTGTTTGCCAGTACTGGGTTGCAGATGGAAGGGCATTTGCTGTGTAAAACATACATATGGGGCCTTTAGAAATGCATGTCTCAGGGAACAGAATGTCATAACTAACAGCGATTAGCTGCTGGATAATTTGGCAGTTCATTCCGTCTGTGGCGACCCCTGATAAATAAAGCAACTAAGGAAAATAAATGAATGAAAAGCCGAAGGAAAATGAATGAATGAAATACAGGCAAAGCAACATTTTTTTTTTCGCCTGTGGCCTCTGACAATTCATTGAGGACTTGCGAAGCAAAATGATTGGTCTATGCAAGATATTAAATTGATATTTTCTATAGGATGCTTTGCAATAATGTATTTGTGCAAATACACTTCTTTAATTAGCACCAAAGCCAAAGCTGGAACTAAAAAAAAGTTAAGATCAAAGTTCAAAATAATAAATATGTTGGGGGAAATATTAAATACATTTTTAATAAGCAGAAAATTTCAAGAGAAACCAACATAGGCTTTTTCTGAAAACGTACCCCTATATACATTTCTGGAGATCGTGAATTATATAGCCAGAGCTACGTATGGCTGCATTTTATCTAGGCAGTATGATGCCGTTCCTTTTCTTGCATATCATCTGACCACTTACCTCCTTATTGACAGCTTTTCCGCTGTTACCAGTTTGTCCAGTAGCTTGACATGTACGTAGGCGGACTTGAGACGCAGAGTGGAGTTACTGTGACAACAGGGTTCGAGTCTGGTGAAGAACAATCCTTGAAAGCAGGTAAAACAAAAACAAGCTAAAAAATCAAATAAACAGGTAAATAACAGGGTGAGAATGTGGTAAAATCTGAAAATGGGGTAAGAAATCAATCAAAGGCCTCTAGTGGATTAACGTGAGAACAGCAGGGGCGAATCGGACTCGCAAGAGAAATTTGAGATCTGGAAAAGCGTACACAACGCCCTCTGGCAGACTTGCTTTAAAAAACGTAGCTCCTGGGACGTATTTTGCTCTCTCCAGAAATGTATATAGGGGTACGTAATCAGAATGAGCATGGTCTCAGAAAAACATAAAACAATACATAAACATTTGTTCATAAGGAGGTAAGCTGTCAGCTGGTAAGCACGAAAAAGTATGGCATCATACCGCCACGTAGCATTCATTTTAAAAATGAAATGCAGCCATACGTAGCTGGCTACATAATTTGCGGTCTCCAGACATGTTTATAGGGCTGTTTTCAGAATAAGCCTATGTTGAAAAATGTATTTATTGTATGTTTTATGATAATAATTTGGTAATGTGTACATGGAACTTCGCCTGTGTTATGACACCTTACAGCAAATTTAGTTTTCCTAAACGGCATAATAAAGTTAGTAATAAGAGTCTGATATAAAAACTTTTTAAATAATTTTTTTTATTAAAGTATATTTTGTCATATTAGTTGAGTGAGCTGACATCACTCATTTTGTTGATATTTTTGGTCAGTTATGTGATATGTGCAGACTTTTTTAGACTGATTCATTTTCCTGCTAATTCCTGATTTTCTGAAACTCTTAATTATCTCAAATGAATACCCTGAAGCGCTGATTCCTAGAAAGAGCCTCTCCGAACCAACCTCAGTCACTCAATGACATGTTTGTCTGAGAATGAAGCGTTCATGGGAAAAGAGACGTCCTTCCATCCGCAGCCTGAGAAAAAGAGTCCTGCCAGAGATCCACATTAGTGCTTTGCTCATTAAGGCCAAATGGCGAGTGGGGATTTGAGCTGAAATATGCAGGCCGGTGGAAGATCACGGCTCTCCAGGACACCGTCCAAAACTCCCCACTCATCCCAACAGATGCCCATTTGTGAGATGCCATCGTTTCCCAACGGCTCGAGCATCCCACACAGTTGCTGCAAGGAGCTCATTGCTATGCCAGATTTTTTCCCTTTCCTGTGTGTTCGGTGAACATAAGCTACAATTAAACTCCTTATTAGTGGCCGAGCGGGCAGACTGTGCTTGTTTTGAAAAGGAAGTTGTCGCACTTCACAAGTACCAGTCATTTTTTGATTCATTGCTCCCTGCGTAGCTCCCTTTTTTCCTTCTCGTCTTCTGCATTTTCAGTCTTTCAGAGCTGTGCTTATGCGGTATTGGCTCGTGTTGTTTCTCTAGTGTCTGTGAATCTCTCCTGGCCTACTTAAAGCGTGTGCTATTTCTGACAGGGCTTTGAGCGTGATGTTCTGTTCAGATCTGCTTTTTCGGAGTCGTATGTTTGGGTGAAGTGTGTTGGGGGAGGCAATGTTCTTTAGGGAATGAATGCAGGGTAAAAATGATTGCATATTCAATCTGTTTTGGTTATTTCATTCGCATTTAATATACTTTTGATGCACACAACATTATGTAAAAACATGGAAACCATTGTACAGATGCTTTGGAAGGGAATCAATAATCTTAAGTTTTAAACAGTGTTAACTTGTATTACATTGAATTAGTTTGATTTTTGAGGCCCATTATAATTATCCAGCAAACACAGGGTGTCAACATGAAGTCAGATTGAAGTTGTAGCCCAATGTCATAGGGACGTTGCATTTTGGATAGAAATGAAAATTGGGTTGACGTCAGAACCCAACGATTTTGGTCACTTTCCAACATCCAACCTAAAAACAACCAAGTATCTATGTCTAATAATGTTACAGATTGACATTGTGTGGACGTTACCACTATGATGTATATCAGATGTTGGATTTTGTTTGCCATACTTGATGAATATTGTCAGTATTTGACATCAGCATGACATTTATTTAAGGTGTTGCCTCGATGTTGGGTTCTAATCACTTTCCAACACAACCTAAAATTAACCAATCATCAATGTCATTTTATGTTGTTATTGGACATCAAAATAACGTCCTTTGATGCTGGTTAGACATTGAAATTTGGTCAACCAACATCATGACCTAAATCTAACCTAATAGAGGTGTATAAACTACTTAACCAATAAGTTTCTGAATCTGAAAGTTTTTTAAAAATCTGATTATACCAGCCTGTGCCACTTGCCATTGTGTTCACATTCTCAACAGATATGACTGTGATTGGCTCCAGTAATCAAGCGTCAAACAATGATCATTGGAACAGTGATGGAATGGAACAGCCAGTCAATGGAATGGCCAATCAGCTGTTTTTTTAGAAGCTCCTCAACAGTGCTCTACTGAAAATGGCGGGAAATGCAGGAAAATAGTGGGAAATACCAGGGGAAATGGTGATTTTTTTTTTAATCACAATAGACCTACCAATTGGTGTTGAATTTATTACTTTGGACTGTCTTAATTGTAAACCCATGAGCGGGCTATCCATCCATCTATACGTCCATCCATCTATTTATCCGTTCAGTACATTACATTCATTAATGACTGTGGGACATTATTTCACTCATATTTTGACATTTTATTTATTTGACATTTTAAAAAAGACAAATTGCTTGCATTTAATGTGATTTCTATGTATATAAACTTATTTAGTAAATTTAATTTGATGCAGAAACTAATCGCACTAAATGCAGGTTACATGTATGACACAAGTGTATGTTTGTATTTCAGGCATACAGTTAGGTCCATAAATATTTGGTCATCGACACTACATTTTTGGCTCTATACACCAACACACTGGATTTGAAATGAATTGAACGGGATGTGCTTTAACTGCTGACTGTCAGCTTTAATTTGAGGGTATTTACATCCAAATCAGGTGAACACTGTAGGAATTACAACTTGCAAGGTATTTGCAACCAAGTATTAAAAAGCGAAAGTTTGATTTGTGATTATTATTCTGTCCAATTACTTTTGGACCCTTAACAAGTGGGAGGCACATATGCAAACTGTTGTAATTCCTACAGCGCTCGCCTGATTTGAATGTAAATACCCTAAAATTAAAGCTGACAGTCTGCAGTTAAAGCACATCTTGTTCGTTTCATTGTGTTTGTGAGAGCCAAAAATGTTAGAATTGTGTTGTCCAAATATTTATGGACCTGTATGAACTGTATAAAATATATCCAATTTATATTTCAAAATTCTGCAAAAATGCTATTTACACATTTTTTTTTTTACAATTGGAAGCATGAAATATGTACAAATATGTTCAAATACATACATACATGTATATATTCAATTCAATTTATTTTTTATTACTATACGGATATTTAATATATGGCCATATATCATATTTCTATTATAGTATATACAAATGTAAAAATCCCAGCTTCTAAAAAAATATGAGAATAATCTGAAAGCAAAAGCAGCAACAGAATAAATAAATGCCTTTCAGATAAGCCAATTCACACTTCAGTCAGCTGAATATTTGGTTTCACACAACTGGTCGGTATCAAAATAAGATCATTTTCAAGATAATGATCATTTTTCATCGCTGTTGAGTTGGGAAAGTTTCATTCCCATCGAAGCGTCCAAATTATGTCATTACTAATAACATTCCGAAACCACACTTTCTTTCCCTGCTCAGTCCTGATATGTTGTTTCACATTCCTCTATTCCCAGCGCCATGTTGGTGTTGTTTGCTCTCAGATCAGTGTGAACGCGTCTCATGTGGGCCGCGTGGATTAATGGCGTGTGACTGAAATGAAAACAAGAGCCATGTTTATATTTGTTTTTCAGTCTTCTCATGCTGACATTTTTAGACCAGTGTTCAATCCAAAGAAATAAAAACAAAGATATTATTTAGGTGTGTTATTCTTTATTTTTTTAATCGCATACACTTTACGTTTCTTTTTAGGAACAAGAGGAGAATAAAGGTGCTACTAGCTGGCCGGAGTTCTACATCGACCAGCTTAATTCAATGGCAGCTGTAAGTATGACACTTTTGAAAACATTTTCTTTATCCTTTAACACCTGGACCATGAGCTTGTTCAGTTTGACCTGTTTTGATTTTTAAATTGTTGCAAATACTACACTGTAAAAAATGTTGGGTTCCACACAATTCCTTCATGTTATACTAACACAAATCGATTAAGTTAACTTAATCGTTTTTACAAACTTTTTTAGTGGATTAAACATAAAATCCCCCAAAAAACTTTTAAATAAGTAGTTTGAACAGGCAGCAAAATGTTTTTTTAGTTTATTTAAAGAGCACACTCCCACCCCAAAAAACCCCAAGAGACTGTTATTTTGTTAAACAAAAGAAGATATTTGGAAGAATGTTGGTAACCAGACTCTGCTATCAATTGACTTCAGAATCAAAGTGCACCATCACAAGTTTGGTTAGCAACTTTCTTTATAATGTTTTTTTTGTCAGAAGAAAATAAAAAAAATCACATTGGAACCACCTGAGTATGAGTAAAATGTACTTTTTTTGTGAACTCTCCCTTTAATCTATGGTTCATTGATTAATTGATTTAATATTTTGTTATTTAGAAACATTGTATTACAGTAACATTCTATTACACTCCTAAATTATCCAAGTTTATTGTTGGTTCCATCCATTCAGCCAACATCTGGGTCTGGTGGGAACACTTTTAGCTTAGCTTAGCTTAGCATATTTCATTGAATAGGATTGGCAAGGAACTACAACCATGAAGACATTTTTGATGCTGCGTAATATCATTGCACCTGCTGCAGCCATGGTAAGGGAGCAAAGTTTCTTGATTATTATGGCAGAATAAGAGTATATAATTTCTAGCCATATCGGCTTAGAACAGGGGTCTCAAACTCAAATTGGTGGGGGCCCATTTCAGTCAATGACTTTACATAGGAGAGCCATTTAAACAATCAAGCACAAGAAAAAAAGTGATTTAATTGATGCATCTTAGAACAACAGACATGATGTTGATGTTTCAAGCATGTGAATGTGTACTGTACCTCTCACAAATCAACATATCATCATGTTTTTTGTTTCACACAACTGCTGAAATATATCTCTGGATGTTTAAATTAGCATTTTCTCATTTAAATAGTCATAATAATGAGTTTTTTTAATCATTTTTATTGTTTTTAGCATAAGAAAATAAACAATAACATACTGTAAACAGAACAAACTTCAGGAAAAAAAGGAGTAAAAAGGCCATTTTACAATACGCAAACAGTCGGACACAACATAATACAATATCATGCAGAAAGCATAAGAGACAAAATTGAATTAAAGATATTAAAAAACAATAATAACAATTTACAGATGCCACACCAATTCCACCTAGTATGAGTTACAAGTCAGTGTTACTGATATAAAACATAATTGGGTTCCAGATTTTAAAAAATCTGTTTAGTTTGTTTGCCATCCCATACCTAATTTCTTCCATGGGCAACACATAACATAAGCTCCTAATTCAGGTTTCAAGACAGGCACATGATCTGAAATTTTTTTTTTTGCTAATATCATACACAAAGATACTGCCTGTGCCTGATCTGTCACCAGAGCCAAAATTGGATACTTTTGGAGACACCTCAGAATTAGGATATATATATTAAAAACGTTCTGCCAAAATGAACTAATTTTAGGGCATGACCAGAATGAGTGAGTCAGTGTACCTTTGAAATTTTTACATTAGTTACTACTATAAGGATACATTTGGGAAATATTCATAGTAATGATATGAATAATAATTATTCTGTCCCAACCAATTGTAGCTTAAGCAAAAGTTTAACATATCGAGTAAGAACAGCAGAAACAGTTCGGGTAACTTTACTGACTTTACTGGCAATTGTTCTTCTTAGTATCTTTCATTTTTGTAAAACTACAACAGAGAGGGGAAAAGTATGTATATATTCACATTTACTTTAACAGTAAAATTAACATAGTTTTCATAGAAATCTCAATACGCAAATGAATAAAATCTATTTAATGTGGTGGTGTAAAACTGATAATAATCAAACGACCATTGAATGTTTACATAAATAGAGTTTTAGTAAAAATAGAGCACATATGCACATTTATTTCAACATTTAAATCAGCCCCAGAAATAATGTGCACGTGCGTTACTCTTGACCGCACACTGAGAAAAAACTAAAGTTAAACTGTAATACAGTACATAGTGCAGTACTTTAAACGTCCAATAGATGGTGGGTCAAAACCACAATGATAGTGTTTCAAAAAAATATGTTTTGTTATTTTTTGACGTCAGTTGGGGGTCGAAGGGTGGGCGAGGTTGGGCCATAAATGGAGTTTAAAACCCCTGGCTTAGAAAATAGCCAGTAACTTGGGTTAAGCGCTTCTGGTGAACTGTATGCCATTGCAAAATTGTTCAAGGTCTGTTTTCTTTAAAAATCAGCCATGTCCACTGGCTGAGTGATATCCGATATAAAGTGGGTCTTAGATTGTACAAGAAACACTGCATTAAATTACATTTTACCCCACCATGTCTTTGAAATATGATTGTTTTTTTTACCCCAGTATATTCAATGGAGCTTCTGTGCTAACCAGTTGATTCTGACGGGCGCATGCGAGTAAAGGGCTTTTTGTCTCGTTTTATGCTTGAGCAACTAAATGAATGCCAAAGTTTATTTAACTGATTGTATTGTAATTACATTACAACATCGATGCTAGAAAAGGAATAGTATAAAATGGAAAAAAGTCACATTACCCCTTCACAGGAAGTTTATCTTTATGGGTAGAAACATTAGCTCCCCGTACACCCTATAGTCAAGCTTTAAATAGGAAAATTGTCAATACTCGTTTGTCATTTTTCTATAGATGCTTATTGTCGAATCTGATTTAAGAATTTATGTTAAGCTAACCTTAGCTAAACTCTAGACTGACGTTGATATCAGCTGAATGGATTCAAAAATTGTAAAACTCAACTGTTTACCACTTAGGGAGTTGTAAAATGAGCCTGTTTACAAAAAATGTGGTGTTCTTTAAGCCAATAGCACAAAAAAAGAAAGTTTTGGTTTTGTGTCTAGTCCTCGGTTGTCAGTTTGTAAGTATGACATGTCATTATATTTTACAGAGGAAGACTCTGTTGGCCTTGGAGAAGGAAGAAGAGGAGGAACGCAACAAGACCATTGAAAGCCTTAAAACGGCACTGCGAACACAACCCATGAGGTCTGTATACTGTTACAACAAACACTCTTTCAAGGAAATCCTGTTTACTTGGCAGCCATGTTTGCAACACCCTCAAGCATATATATCAGGGATACAAGACAAAGCCCTGTCTATTTATATGAGGAAATGCTGGATTGCCAAAAAACTTTTGACAAACTCACAATTAAATGCGTAGTTTACACAAAACTGAAAATTCTGTTATCATATACTCATCTTCCACTTGTTTCAAACCTGTTTGAGCTTCTCTTTTCTGTTGAACAAAAAGAAAGATATACTGAAGAACTTTGGAAAAAACTGCCATTGACCTCCATAGTATTTTTGTCAATGACTGCTTTTCTTCAATGTTTGTTTTACCGATGTTTTGTTAATATTTAACAAAAGAAAGAAATGTATAAAAGTTTAGAATGTACCATTTGAGGGTGAATAAGTAGTAAGCAAATGGTAATTTTTAGGTGAACTTTCCTATTTAAGTAACATATTTAATTTCCTCAAATAGAAGTCTAAATGGCTTATGTAGTGACACGATGAGTTTACCAGTTATTTAATAGCTCTTTCATTTAGAAAGCTGGACTGCATGATTGACTTTCTTTCAGTAATGTAAGTTGAGCTAATTGTGAATTCAGGTTTTTGTAGAATTAGGCAACACAAATAGGTTAACATACTCTGTCTTCATTAAATATGAAGTCCTCAAAACCTTAAAACATGAATATAAAACATTATATGAGTGTATTTTATTAAGTAATATCAGTGCATTCATACAGTTTTAAATATAGTTTGTTTGCACTATATAGTTTGAGTTTTATTAAAGTAATAAATAGTAAATACTAAAAGATAATACTAAGTTAATACTTTTAGAATGTTACAAAATATTTATTTCAGGAATATTTAATTATTTTATGCTTTGATTTCAAGAAAGAACCCTGTAAAGATGTATTATAGCCTCCCTCCAAAGATATTCTGCAGCACAGTTAGAAAAATGTATTTTATTGTGCAACAATATTTATATTAATTGTATTTTTCGTGGGGCAACACAGTGGCTCAGTGGTTGGCGGCTTCCGGCTGGGTCAGTTGGTATCTTTGTGTTAAGTTTGCGTGTTATCCCCATGTTTGCGTGGGTTTCTCTGGGTGTTCCGGTTTCCCCCACAGTCCTAAGACATGCGGTACAGATGAATTGGATAAAGTAAATTGGCTGTAGTGTATGAGTGTGTGTGCGCGAATGAGTGTGTATGGGTGTTTCCCAATACTGGGTTGCGGTTGGAAGGGAATCTGCTGCATAAAACATATGCTGGATAAGTTGGCTGTTCATTCCTCTGGGGCGACCCCTGTTGAATAAAGGGACTAAGCAAAAGGAAAATAAATGAATGAATGTTTTTTTTGGTATTTAAAAAATTTGCTGATGATCACAAAAGACTTCAAAATCTCGATCAGTGTTGCCAGATAAAGCTGCCTGAGTCCAGCCCAAAAACTACCCAAAACCCGCTGAAAACCAAAAGGCACCGTCCAACAATCTATAGACAATAATAACCTGTTGAGAGGCCGAGGAGTGGGGGGGGTTGTGTCTCATTGTGAGCTTCTGTATGTGAATGGGCTGTAGCATTTTTTTGGGAGATCATAACAGGTTTATAAGTGAAGACCGGGGCTGGCGGGCACGCCGTTGCAAAACCGGCCACATTTTCACTACCCGCCTGTCATTTTTTACCCGCAAAAACAAATTCAAAACCGGGAAACCGTCTGGCAACACTAATCTCAATACCAATGATATGATAGTTTTAATACATTTGAAGTCTTGTTAACATTTTTAACATCAAGTATAGTTCAACTTTATTATCCAAAATAATCCAATTCAAATTTACCGAATAAAAAACTAAAGCCCATTTTTATTTAAAGATTTATTCCACATTTTATTGAACACGTCATTGATTTGTCCATTGGTAAGGGGCTCACTCTATTATTAATTAAATGCTTTGCTTGCCTTATGGTGTGTGCTTTAGGACTCATAATGCAAATGATACTGCTTTCATCAAGAACAGATGTGTTTGATGATCAGTGTGTGCTGTTCCCAGTGTGTTTGATCCCAGGTCACAGGTCATCACCGCTGACCCTAAAACACTCCAGCCATCTTTGTGTGCCTAATGACATCACAACAATCCATTCACAGTTCTGGACAGTTGCATTTAAGTCAAGTGCTTAATAGGGGCCATAAATCAAGGCACGCTTCTGTGTTATGTTATTTTGCATTCATCACCTCAACGTGGAGTTGATTATTATCACATTGACAGGCTGTTTTACTCCAGACTCATTGAGTTATGCTTCTCGTGTTGCAAATCTAATGTGGGTTTTAGTGCAGAGCATGTTATGTGGCAATCCTGTTTCGGCACATACTGTTGCCTGTTCACTCTGGATATTAATTATAGTGGAAAGAAAAGTAGACTCAACATTTAAAATATATTTATATTTTTATATTTAAAAGTTATGAAAGTCTTTTAATTTATAATGCATATCAGCATTTTAATATATTCAAATATTGTTCTTTATGACCGCTTATTTTATTTGTAAATAAATAACTGAATTTTAATTGAAATGTAAATTAAATTCCTAAATGAATTCCACAAAATAACTTTTAACTTTTTAATTTTATTTAATTTTATTTAATTTCATTTAATTGATTTAAATAATTTTTTCAATTGTGTCTTTAGCTGTATGTTTAGCAATCATATATGCACTTTTTCAGTTCCATTACAGAACAATTTTCTGTCTTTTGAATATTTTCTAAACCCTTTTTAATACACTTTTTAAAAAATATTAGTTTGCTTTATAAGAGTTAAGAGTAAAAACAAAAATTACATTCTAGGATAAAAAACAGACTTTTGAAAAAAAAAAAAAAATATATATATATATATATATGTATATATATATATATATATATATATATATATATATATATATATATATATATATATATATATATATATATATATATATATATATATATATGTAATTTTTTAAAATATATTATATTTTTTTGGTGGACAACTTCATTGTTTAGATCACCAGCAGTGTTGCTGCACATTCATCTGCACTACAAATCCCATCATGCACATCACACACACCTGGCCCAGATTCCCCTTGATTGCAAACACACACAGTTGAATTTGTTCAGGACTAATCAGATGGACTACAACACAGCAGTGTGACTTTGCCTTTGACTTTGACTATGCTTCTGAAGTACCCCTATCATGCTGTTTGGACATGTTTGACCGTTGCCTAGTGGTGGGCAAAGTGAGAGCTTAATGAAACACTGAAACAGTTAATGCAATGTGTCGAAGCTTTGAAACATTTCAAAACCTGTCTTTACAGTGATACCTAGTGGTCATTTTTTTTTTTTTATTGCACTGTAACAGCTTCAGAAAAGAAACAGTTAAGCAAATTGAGGTATTAAACCCAGCATTGTTACTATTTTTACCATTACAAAAATAATGGTATAGTAATGGCATATCCGCAACTGTATCCTATCTAGACCTCACCATAAAACAGCAACATTATTAAAATACACAACATCATATCTATAATAACATTATATCATAATTTCAGAGTATTTTTACTAGTCAGGACTCAAACCCAAAGCCATTTGCAGCACAGTAACTATGTGCACACACACGGATCACTAGGCTATACTGTATGAGACAGAGTTTTATTCTGACCCTGTCAGTCAAACGCAGATTCGCCAGGTCTCGGAAAACTTCTGAAATGATCTACGATTTAAATTACTGTATTCACGTGACCAGCTGTTTCGAAACACTTTATTCACATGACCTGTGTGTTCCAAATCACCTTAGTCACATGACCTGGGTGTTTCGGATCATGCTTCGATGCAGTGTTTCAAAACACTTGCGCTTCAGGATCTCAACATTGTCGAAACACCATTTTCACATCAGCCATCCCTACCGTTGCCTGCCTGACCATTTTCTGTTTAATAAACTGCACGTACAACTCAGTTGTACCCCAACTCCATCTGTTGCATTCATAAGTTGTTCGAATAGCTCTGTTTCACAATATGTAATACATGCGTATTCTAAAAAATATGGTAATTGTAGATTATAAAACATGAATTATAAACATCCTTAAACTTAAAAACAAGCTTTTGAAAACATAACAAACTGAAAACACTGAAAATGTCTGGGATAATAAATAAATGCACAATACATTACATAAAAGCTAAAATTATGAAAATATGCATTGCATGAAATGACACCATTAAACAAAGTATTTTTCTCCTATCATGCCTTACAGCAGGTAATATAAGTGCAAAAGGTCTTCAACTAATGAATTGATTGATTCTTCTCAGGTTTGTGACACGGTTCATCGATCTGGATGGCCTGACATGCATCCTGAACTTCCTGAAGAGCATGGACTACGAGACCACCGAGTCTCAGATCCACACGTCTCTCATCGGCTGCATCAAAGCGCTGATGAACAACTCTCAGGGCCGCGCTCACGTCCTGTCCCACACAGAGAGCATCAACATCATCGCCCAGAGCCTCGCCACCGACAACATCAAGACCAAAGTGGCCGTGCTGGAGATCATGGGCGCGGTGTGTCTGGTACCCGGCGGACACAAGAAGATCCTCGAGGCCATGCTGCACTACCAGAAGTTCGCCTGCGAGCGCACACGATTTCAGGTGTGTATGATTTTCAATAAAAACATCCAGAGAGTCTGATGCTGGGGGCTGTTTTTTTTTTGTTCATGACTCACTCAGTTAGCTAGTCAGCTAGTTGTCCTATCAAGTAAAGCTGAAAAAAAAGTTGAGTACATGAGAAAAAACAAAAAGAAATAAGGATTATGTTTGTGTTTTTTTGTTCACTCAACTTCAGGCATTCCGGTTCTGCAGACAAAAAATGTTCATTTGGCACAACTTAAAAAGTTTTGTTACAGAGTAGTTCACCCCTCCAGAAAACTAATAATCTTATGTTAACCCAACTAAATGTTTTTGTATTAATGACAAATAATTTAGGCCAGTGCACCTGATGTTTTCAAAAGTTGAGTGTACAAGATAAAGCGAAAGGAATTAAGGATTTTTTTTTTGTTTTTTTTTGTTTTGTACTGACTTGTACTGTATTTTCAACAGTATGATTTGAGATTGTTTGGTTCATTGAAGCTCATCCTGGAGTTCTTGTCATGGTAACATGTCTTAAATGTTTCTTTCACACTGAACATTATGGTACAGTTTAGTACAGACCAATATGATTCGGTGCAGGTCACCCTGAGGCTTTTGTTTTATTTGCTAATATTAACTTTTTACCTAGTAATCATGGAGGCATATATCATGTTAGCATAACGATATAATGTGGCAGTTAGATCATAACTGTACTGTGCATTTACACAGTGGCCATATTCATCGATGTAAAAAACCCCCCAAAAAACAACATTAACATTATAGCAGACGATGTAAAGGGGTAATTGAGTGTCATCAAGTGTCAGAATGTTGTGGGACTACGATACAGGAGTTATTATTATAATGGATTATAGATAGCGCAATTTAGCAGTTTTTTATTTTAGTGTTTTTTAAAAGCATGATGGTAAAACGAATGTGCTTGTTTGTTGTTAAAATTTGTAATAATGACAAAAAAATACTAGTTTGTGCATCTCCGGACTTCCATGTGCAGCCATGCTGCCGTTGTAGCTGTGTATTCTGGGAAATTTTCTTACCCCTTGGTTTCTAGCGTGCTCCTGAAAAATCTTTATTTCAAGGACGATCTAGCCCTTTCCCTTAGCCCTACGCCTTCAAGCTAAAGAGAATTAGGACATCCCTACCCCTTCAAGTGAGTGTGCAAAACGAGGGGTAAGGGGAAGGGCTAAGAATTAGAATTGGGATTGGGCCTTTAACTGAAAGTGAAAGAAACTATATATATATATATATATATTGCGGTATATTGGGGAAAATGATAATAATAAAAAATAATCATGAAATTCCTTTAAATCTGTTATATAATCTCACTCACACACTTATGTAAATACACTCAGAAGATACAAAAACTGTCACTTGTTGTAGTTCCTTTTGTAAAAGGTACAATTGTATTGTTAGGACTGCAATATGGATGTTTTAGGTATAAATAGTTACCTCTTGAAAGGTAAAGGTAAAAAGGACCACTTTTGTACCTCTTTTTCTGAGAGTGTATGAAAGATTTATTTGGGAAGGAATAAGTAAGTCACCCAAAGCAATCAAGCTTATGCCATGTTTTCTATTTGTGTGACAGACGTTGCTGAATGATCTGGACAAGAGTACAGGGCGGTACAGGGACGAGGTCAGCCTGAAAACGGCCATCATGTCCTTCATTAATGCTGTGTTAAGCCAAGGAGCTGGTGAAGTAAGACATTTACACTATTTTACTTAATTTAATTTCCACATTTCAATCTCCACTTGATCCAAACCCATTTTTTTTTCTTCAGTTGAACAAAAAGATAGATGTTTTGAAGAATGTTTAAAACTTTGAGCCATTTACATCCATAGTGTTAGTTTTTTTTAACTATGGGTGTCAAAGGCTCCTGGTTTCCAACCTTTTTCAAAATATTTTCTTTAGTGTTCAACTGAAAAAAGAAACTCATGCATGTTTCAAGGGACTTGAGGTTAAGTAAATCTTGAGTATTTTTAGCTAAACTTTTCCTATAAGCAGGTGTTGTGTATAAAAACCCACAGTTCTGATTGGTTTGACCAAGTGTTTTTTTTGTTTGCTTGTTTTAGTCCAGTCTTGAGTTCCGGGTACATTTGCGATACGAGTTCCTCATGTTGGGGATTCAGCCCATCATCGACAAACTTAGGTCACATGAAAACTCCACTTTAGACAGGTAAGCCCCACATCAGGAATTTAGATTTGCTAGAATGTTTAATCATCTAACTGAAGCTGTTTTTGTGTGTGCGTGTGCATGTGCGTGTGTGCGTGAATGTGTGTGTGTATCCTCAGGCATTTGGATTACTTTGAGATGCTGAGAAATGATGATGAGCTCACGTTATCCAGACGCTTTGAGGCTGTAAGTGGATTAAATATATATATATATATATATATATATATATATATATATATATATATATATATATATATATATATATATATATATATATATATATATTTATATATATATATATATATATTTTTTTTTTTTTTTTTTTTTTGCATAATTATTAATTATTATGTAATTATATTACAGCATTTAATTTAATATTTACTGTTATATATTATTATTATTATTATTATTATTATTATTATCATCATCCTTGCTTGAAGTTATTTGATTATGCATTAAACTGTTGTACATAATTATATATAAAAAACTATGTTATATGTCATATGTATATATGTTATATATTATTCATATCAATAATTAATATATAATATGATAATGCTATCATGAATATTATTTTTGTTATTATCATAGTAATTGAGTTATTTAGTAATTATTTGATTTAATTATTACATTAAATTACTATATTATTATTATTTTTATTATTATTATTATGATGCATTATTATAGATTTAATAGAGTAATTGACACATAATTTGTATACAAAAACTTAAAAAATTTTAATTATGTAAAAACATTTTAATTACATAAGATTATTTACTGAAATGAATTTAAATTGGCCTGTTTACATGCTTTTGCAGATCCACATAGACACGAAGAGTGCGACGCAGGTGTTTGAGCTTGTGAGGAAGAAACTGGCGCACACAGACGCATATCCACACTTCATGTCTGTCCTTCATCACTGCCTGCTCATGCCTCGTAAGTGACCACCTGTTCTTCTCACAACACATCTGTCCTCATCTGTAGCTCTCAAATAGGTCCTATAATTCCCACACTATCCTCTGATGGGAGTTTATTGCTTACACTTTCATAGTTTAGACCTAAAACCAAAAGCGTTGCTGACTTTTTAATTTAAAAATATGTGAATTCGGTCCAGTTTTTTTTTTATTAAGTTGCCTTAATTACTATGTATTTACATTTTTATGAATCATTTGGTACAATGCACTTATTATGTTACATAAATTACATACAGGTTTTTTAATAATACGTATATTTTGAGCATTATCTGCATGTTGACCGATTCTATGCACCTTAACTCTCCCATAAACCTACCCATAACACCAAACTTGTCCATAACCTTACGCATATCCAACCTTAATAGCACCAATGTTGTATGCATTTGTGCCACTTAATTAAAAGTGGGATTTATCTTTCTCTAGAATTCTTCCTTTAAAATTTCATAAAATTGTGTGTTGTGCGTGTGCGTGTGCGTGTATATATGTATATATATATATATATATATATATATATATATATATATATATATACTGTATATATATATATATATATATGTATGTGTGTGTGTGTGTGTGTGTGTGTGTGTGTGTGTGTGTGTGTATATATATATATATATATATATGATGGTTTTATGTTTGGGTATTAAATGAAACATCTCTGTCTTTGCTTGCTTTATAATGGCTTGTCATTTTTATGCCAAAAGTCATGAGAGAAGTGTCAAACAAATCAACACATTTCTCAATGCAAAAGTCTTTCACCAACTACCATCTGTCATATTGTGAAAAGACTGAGGGAATCCAGAGAAAGCTCAGTCTGTGTAGGGCAAGGCAGGAGACCTCATAAAAAATGTCATGCTGTGGAGTTAAACACAGCCACATGAGTTTAGGGGAACTTCAGAAAACCACAGTCACTTCACACAGCCTGCCACTGCATCACGGAATGACACTTGAGTTCCTTAAGGAAAAAGCAATACATCAGTTCTAGTGATGCCTCTGGTTATCCAGGCTGAAGCTTACTGTATCACAGAAAATATGGAAGAGAGCAGAAATGTGTGCTGGCTCAAATTAACTCATATTTCAACTTAAAGTTTTACACAAAAGTAAACATTCTGTCATCATTTACTCACTTTATGAGTTTCTTTATTTTGTAGAACACTAAAGAAGATTTCATTTCCTTTTGCCATTAACTTATAAAGTATTTGCTTTTCCTACTAAGGAAGTAAGTGTGTACAGGTACAGAAACACATACAGGTTAAGAACACCTCGAGAGTGAGTAAATAGTGAGCAGATTTTTATTTTTGAGTTAACTACCACTTTAACTCTGGAAAAAAACTTAAGGGTTTTAGATGTGCTTGTTTCCACTGAGGTAATACATAGTATAGTACAGTACGATAAAGCAAGGGTCACACTTATGCGTTCCTCTACTAGTAGTTCCCTTTCTTGGTATGTGTGGTATACGCCAAAAAGTTGCGATTGATGTTGCCTTTAGCAAATAAGAAAGCCACTGTGTATTTTTTTTGCACATACGTTCATTAATGCAAATCTAGACGGTTGACAAATGCTCGTTAATAGAGAGAGAAAGAGGTCAAGCGACTAGACACACGTTTTGAACAACCCTGTAAGAAAGATGACATACAGTACAGCAAATCCTGTTCTGCTTCTTAACATGTAGCTGTTTGTTGCAAAAAGATAAGCTTGTTTGATTGTGGTTCATTTCTGCAACCCCATTATTGAGTATAATAATGGGGGTCCATTATTGAGTATAATAAACACCCCCTGTGTATTTTAAAAATGGTACTTCCTGTGTTGTTCTTCCCCTGACTTATTGCACTCTCAATTGACAATTCTCTGTAAACCAGTCAACATTCTACAGAAAAAATAGCTCCACCCTTTAGTACTGTACTGTTGTGCTAGGTACATTTATGAATGGCCACAAAAGTGGTACAGTACTATACAGTTAGCTTTTTTTTTGAGAGTGGAAAAAATATATAAATGCATACAGTACCATGAGCCAATAAAGTCCAAAAGGATCCTTCAGGCTTTCATGAGTGACAGATGCAAAAGCCAATGTCCTGCAAATATCATGGTATCAGGACGCAGCAAATAAAACAGTTACTGTTAAGATGGAGGCATATATTGAGATATGTACAGAGACATACTGTATAGTGCCTTCAACACATGTCTTTAATGGAAAGTCTGCAGTTATTAAATGGAGTCTGCACTGTGAAAATCCATTAGTTACTTTACTTTAAAAAAGTGAGCAACAAAAAGCAACAAGTTGATTTTTCTTTAAAAATCAGTAGACCCATTGACTGAACTTTTATAATTATGCACATATTTGTTTACTTAAGGCAACAAGTTCACTCACTTTATTTAAGTAAAGACCATTAATCACTTTTTACTGTGTGCATGCTTCCAACAGCTTGTTTTGCAGACACACACTTAAGAAAATGTCATTTCGTCACCTCCGAATTATAAGGTTCTATCTGACATTTTTGTCAAAATTAAGTTATTGACATATTCTTATTAAATGACAACTTATTTACATTATGGGATGTTTTTTATATGTTGTTTACATTTTAAAACTTTTTATTTAAAAAAACAAATGTGACACACAGACTGTTTGCTATGGAATGCTAAAATTTTGAGGCTCAATATCTCAAAATCATTCAAAACACAGATAGAACCTTACAATTGCAAGGTGACGATTTGCTGTTTGTTTACTCAACTTATTTAAAAAGAGCTAAAACAACACAGTTCTTGATTTTTTTAGAGGACAACTTAATTGTTTTTGTTTAATCCACTTAAATTTGTAAAAAAAAAAACTAGTTAAATAAAATGGGTAACACTATAGAATAATAATGGTCTATTAGTTAATGTATTTACTAACCTTAAGAAAGTCTGAATAATCTTGTAAATCATTTATTAATCATAGTTGAACATTAACAAATGCATGATTAAAATCCAAAGATGTGCTAGTTTACATTAGTTAATGCATTATAAGTTAACATGAACTAACATCATTTAGCTTAAATTCCAATAACGAAGTCGAATAAATACCATAATAAATGTATTACTAAATGTTTGTTCATGTTAGTAAAAACATTAACAAGCATTAACTAATAGAGCATTATTATAAAGTGTTAACTTAAATTGTTAAATGAATTTCTTCATGTTGTCCCTACACAAAGGGATTGTGTGGAACCCAGAATTTTTGTGAATGCAGTGTGGAGTGAATGTGTTTGACCACCCAGATGTGTGTGTGTGTCCTGTTAAAAATGTGTGGTCATGAAAAGGAGAATCAGACCACCACAAACTGTTAAGCAGATGATTTCTTATCATGCCAATAATACTTTAAACAATCAGTTTCCAAAATATTCAAACAATTAGACTTATTTAAAAAAAAAACATGCCATTCTTCCAACTTTTTTGGAGTGTCACATTCTGCAAAATCAAAATGGGTTTATATTTACGCAACACTGATTGTAAGCTCAGTGAAAACGTTGGAAGTCTTTTCTTTCTTTTTTCAGTATAAAAAATCATTAAAGACAATCAACAACTCACATATTCCAGAGTTTACTACTTTTATGAAACATATCAACCTTAATTTCAGAATAAAATGATTTGATATGGAGTCAGGTGTATACTAAGTGAAGTATCCACCTGACTTAGAGTCGGGTGTATACTAAGTGAAGTTTACTTAATCCTGAGAGGATCACGTGCTTATGATTGCTTGCGTCTAGTCCCGCATTATCCAATTTATGATTCACCAATCAGACGATTCCTAAGCCATTACAAATACCCTAAGTTCCATTTAACAGCCATTTTTGTTTTAAAGAATCCCCCCTTCCACCCCTACTCCTCCTATCCTAGATGGGTGGCACGGTGGCCCAGTGGTTAGCACTGTTGCCTCACAGCAAGAACGTCACTGGTTCTAGTCCTTACCAAGCCAGCTGACGTTTCTATGCAGAGTTTACACGTTCTCCCTCTGCTCACTTGGGTTTTCCTCCCACCGCCCAAAAACATGCAACTTAAGTTAGTTGGCTAATCCAAATTGGCAACATAGACATGCACCTAGTAAGTAGTTATCTCTTAAGGGCAATCATTGTGTTCATTAGCTACTACAGCAGGGGAGTTCCCAAGGTCTACCTAAGCTCAAACTCCCTTCTCTCCTTGCAAACAGGAGGTATCCCCGGACTCTTGTGTGAACTCTTGAAATATATTTTATTCTATACTGTAGGTATTGTTGTGGTGATTTTCTAGTGTCCTGCATGCAGTAGTGTTATAATGTGCTGTGTGTTTTAGATAAGAGGAGCGGGAACACAGTGCAGTACTGGCTGCTTCTGGACCGTATCGTTCAACAGATGGTCCTGCAGAATGACAAAGGTCACGATCCCGATGCCACGCCGTTAGAAAACTTCAACGTCAAGAATGTGGTTCGAATGTGAGCTCACTGCTTTCTTTTAGACATCTCGCTCGTAATTGTGCTTTTCTTTTGAATCTTTTTAAAGTCTGTGTTTTAATACACTCATTTAGGCCTTTGCTCAACAAAGCAAGATTAGCTGGGGTTGGATTAATGAGGTTTGCTTTGTTTAACCACTTTTCTCGCCCTCTTTCAGGCTTGTCAATGAAAATGAGGTGAAACAGTGGAAGGAGCAGGCGGAGAAAATGCGAAAAGGTCAGCATATGTTCTGCACATTGATGTTTCTTTTACAACAGACATTTGTTTTTTACATTTTGATCTAACGGTGTTTTTGGTGCTTTCACATCATGTAGGAGTTATCCTTCAGATTTAACAGCAGGAGGAAAACTTATTTTTATTAAATTATAGCATAAAACTAATAGAATCAGAATTGTTTTTATTTGACTTACAATACATCAGTGTACATAAATAGTAATAATAATACATTTTATTTGTAATGCGCTTTTCTTATACTCAAAGTGTTACAGGCAAAATACTAGAACACAAGGCAAGTAAAACAGCACAACAATAAAAGATGCAATAAAACAATTAAAATATGAACCATAAGATAGAAAGAAAAAGTTAAACAAAATGATCATCCTAAGTTAAAAGCAATGCTAAAAAGGTGAGTCTTAAGAAGTTTCTTAAAACAGTTCTGAGGCAGCATGCCTAATGCTGATGGGGAGTGCATTCCAAAGCTTAGGCGCACTGTGTGAAAAAACCCCTGGTCTTGAGTTTACACTGTGGCTGATGCAATGTAAAGCTTACTCTTTATTTTTATATTTGTTTATTTACATAATTATGAACATTAATCTTTTCATCTATACTTTTTAGCAGCACATACAATCAATATACTCGTATTAAGTCATGTATTTTACTTAAATGCATTCATATATTTACTTAATTTAAGTCATGTATTTTACTTAAATGCATTAATATATTTACTTAAATTTAGTCATGTATTTTACTTATACACAGTAATATATTCACTTATATTAAGTCATGTATTTTACTTATACACATTAATATATTCACTTATATTAAGTCATATATTTTACTTGTATACATTAATATATTTACTTATAGTAAATAATTTATTTTTCTTGCATATTTAATCTGGAGATTGTATCTACTTTTCATATTATTTATATGTTTTAATTTTTTATTATTGTCAAGGAAAGTGTTCGCTATTACTATTCTCCAGTAAAAAACATCTTATCAATCGCAACTTGAAAACTTGAATTTTATTTTACTTGAATTTTTATTTAACGGATTCCATCTGTACAAATAATAAAATTTTTCAGACATATTTTTTTGTAAATGCATTAATTCATTCGTTCCTTTATTTTTTTACTCATTTGTTATAACATATTTTACTAATTTATTAAATCTGAATATTGAAAAATGCTTTCATTCATTCAATAAAAAAAATAATAAAATAGGGTAGGGGGCCGATCACACTTTTTGCGTCTTTTTTAAATGATTTACTAACGGTCACGCTGCTTATGCGCTCTGCTTGTCAGCAGAAAAAGCATTGCGGTGCACCTTTTGTTTTTGGAATGTAAAAGCGTGTTCGATATGATCCGCCCCTAATGGTTCACATCGAAATTTTATGACTTGAGCCAATGAAAAATAAATCATTTGCCTTGAGCAATATTTTCTATCACTATGAAAACAATTTATATAACCTGCTACAAAGCATATTTCTCTTGTTGAACCAAGTCAGTTTTTTTTATCTAAAAAAGATATACCTTTAATCATACACAATTGAAGTCTTATAAGCCCCCCTGAATTATTACAACAAAATACAAAATAAAACAAATATTGTCAGACATACTGTTAAAATGTCCTTTGCTCTGTTAAACATCATTTGGGAAATATTTAAAAAAGAAAAAAAATCAAAGGGGGGCTAATAATTCTGACTTCAACTGTACATACATATACATAACGATTGTAAAAAATTTTTAAATAAAGTCTCTTTTGACTTTACCTGATTGCAGCCTATTTATGGATTCATTGTGCAGTGCAGACTTTTAGAAATGGCTGAAATGGAAACACTGTGTATAATATTTGACCTGTAAGCTGTTTGTCCTGCAGACCACCATGAGCTTCAACAGAAAATGGAGAAGAAGGAGCGAGAGTGTGACGCCAAAACACAGGAGAAGGAGGAGATGATGCAGACCCTCAACAAGATGAAAGAGAAGTTAGAAAGAGAAATGGGGGAACATAAACTCGTCAAGCAGCAAGTGGCAGAAATGACCACCAGACTACATGAGCTCAGCACGGTACGCTAATGATGTCACACATACAGTCATGGTCAAAATGATTGGCACCCTTGGTAAATATGAGTAAAGAAGAAGACCGTGGCTAGAATTTTTCAAATGTTTTATTGATGTAAAACAATTGAAAACATTAAAGTGTCTTATTATATATATTAATTAAGTGTCTTATTCTAAAAAAATATTGATTAAAATTATTGACACCCATTTATACAATACATTCTGCTCTAAATTGTCTCCCATAATGTCTGATGAGGTTGGCGGAAACCTAGAAGGATATTAGACAGATTTTTTTTCATAAAAGTCTCTCCAGATCCTTCATGTTCTCTGGTCCGTGTTTATGCTCTTTCCTCATTTTCTAGAGGATTCCTGACAGGAGACTGGCCATGGCTAAACTTTAATTTTGGGCTCGTTGACCAATTTTTATTTCAATGTAGACAATTTTTGTGACAATTTTTGGTCATTATAAAACATCCAGCCATGGCCAAGTTTAAGACTTCTAGCTGGTTTTAATTTTTTTAATCTGTTCATGCAGTACAGTATTTGGTAGAATTTGTGATGACGTGTGTCTAAAAAACATAGCTAGGAAGTCTGGCAGACAAAACAGGTCAGAAAAATTAAAGATTCTTCAGTATATTTAATGGTGGACACAAGGTTACCATTTTGTCAAGTTATGTTGTGTGTTTGCTACTAGTTTGTTAGTTTCATATGACCATAGAACTGTCCTGTTTGAAGGTCCAGTGATGTCTGAGAGCTTTGAATACGCTTTAGAGTTTAAAGTGTTACTTTGAAATGAGCAAGGAAGATTTTTTTTGTAGTCACTAGGGATGTAACGGTATCAGAATTTCACGGTACGATAATACCTCGGTATGAATGGCACGGTACGGTATTTATTGAATAGTTTACAGAAAAACAAAACTAATGAAAAGACATAAAAAGTGCCAAAAGTGTTTATTTACCTTAGCACTGAACATATCAATGACATACAAATTAGCCATCTGTCTGTAAGTTTTGAAACAGGAACTTCAACTTTTCAATTTAAATAACAAAAAACTATTAAACCATATAAAAAAATAAAGTTTCAATTTAGTATTGTTGAAAACTCATCACATTCAACATTTAATCACTCACTCACTTAGATAGAGATGGGTTTTTAAGGAAAATTATCATATAAATATAATCTGGTAAAAGCTGGGATCTCTGGGCATTTACAATGTCCCCTGCAACAGAAAAAAAACCTCTGATTTGGGACTGAGGTTTCTGGGACAGAGAGATATGATTTAGCCAAGGTTGACAGCAGTGGGTAACATTGTGCATTGTCTTTCCACCACTTGAGAGGACAAGCCATGAGTGAGACAGAGGTCTCTTTACGGTACAATTCAATGTCTGCATCAATCTAACAAGTGTGCTGTGATCTGCAGTCCCTATGACTGTTATTAGTCGTATTCCCTGACTTATATTTCACCACAGTCTGGCAGTGCCTGCATACCGTTTTTTTCTTTGTCTGTCACCTTTTCTCCTTTTTCGTATCTTTTTAGAAAGAAACCGAAATGATTCCACTCATCCGATTTAAAACCCGCTTTAGGTTCGATCATTTCCAGCTCTTTTTCTTCCCCGCTACTAGCAGCACACTCCATTTCCGCATTACTGGATCTGTAGTGACAACAGACCGCAAAGGATGATGGCCACGCCTAGGCTGATGGGAATTGTAGTTCCCGCTACCTCCCGTTCGCTTCATTCGCCTAAGCAAAATTTTCTCAGAAATATATTTTTATTGAATCATGCGCCTACGGTAATATTGAAAAAAATTACTATTGCGGTATGACGGTATTTACAATATTGTTACATCCCTAGTAGTCACTCTTGTGTACTTTCATAAAAATATGAATAGAAAATACTGCACAGATTTTTCACACTTAAGAATGCTTATCATTGCATATCTTTTTTTTTGATTTTAAATGATCAATAAAAAGGACAAACAATGCAAATGTATATTCACAGCATTTTTACAGCTCATATTTACCAAAGCTGCCAATAATTCTATCCATGACTGTGTAAATGAACAACGTCAGGGTTCTTTTGTCAGAGCAGGCTCACATCTGTTCATAATTTTTACTGTATGTACAGAGACAGATAGCAAGTGTTCCTGGAGGTCCTCCTGTCTCTGGTCCTCTAGGTGGACCTCTGCTTCCTCCACCTCCTCCACCTCCACCAGGCGGCATGATGCCTCCTCCACCGCCTCCTCCACCGTGTGGCGCTATGATGCCTCCACCTCCTCCACCACCCCCCGGTGGCCCTCCGCCTCCCCCTGGACGCCCTCCATTCGGCAGTGCTCCTCCTCCTCCAGGAGCTCCAATAGGTCCATCCCTGAAGAAGAAGAACATTCCTCAACCCTCAAACCCTCTCAAGTCCTTCAACTGGGCCAAACTGTCCGAGGTGAGACTGATATTGCGAATCCTGACACTCAATGAGAAGAATAGCTTCTGCATTTAATAAAAACACACTTTTGGAAGTCCAGTGACACAAATTAATGTCAAAGCTGTAGTAAATTTGCCATATAAGTAGAGGACTTACTAGATTTTATATTTTTGAAATTTAGTATTAAATATTTAATCTTTTTATTAGTTTGCATGTGTTTATGTATTTAATCAATTTAATCAATTAGACAGACAGACTGACTGACTGACTGACTCACTGATTGATTGATTGATTGATTGATTGATTGATTGATTGATTGATTGATCTATATCTGTATCAGAATGCATTATTTTAGTTTTCAGGTTTTACAATCCATAAATTAAAAAAAAGATACTTTGTTTACATTTTTCAATTGTTGCCGTTACTATTTTTAGCAACACAGGAATATTTTCTATGAAACATTTTAATTCCCTGAATTCGTTGTCTATACATTTTAACCCTGAAAAAAATCATTTATAAAAAAAGTCATTAATCTTTTAAACAATTATCTATAAGTTTAGCATTGCATTTAATTTAATTAATTCATTTAAATGTTTAATTAGATGGAACTCCATTACATTTTAAATGTAACTGGGAAAAATATTTTAAAAAATCACACACACACACACACACACTGTTTTTTTTGTGAATTGTGGGGACATTCTATAGGTTTTTCATTGTTTTTAGACTGTACAAACTGTATTTAACAGTATCGCCCTACCACTTAACCCAACCCTTACAGAAAACTATGTACTGTTTCACTTTATCTAATCAGCTCATTTGGTGTGATTTATATTCTTATTGAGAAATGAGGACATCAGCGATGTCTTCATAATTCACCGCCTTCTTGTAATACCTGTGTCATGCCCTTGTAGTTATACAGATTTGTGTCCTGATATGTCACAAAAGCACATAGACATGTACACACATATATGATATTATTTCTATTGAATTGGAATAACACAGAATACTAAAATGTTTAATTATTATAAGCATATATTAATTTTTAGCATTTAGAGTTGAATCATGAAGAAAATTAGTAGCCCTCCTGTGAATTTTGTTTTTAAATATTTCCCAGATTATGTTTAACAGAGCAAGGAATTTTTCACTGTATTTCCTATACTATTTTTTCTTCTGAAAAAAGTCTTTAATGTTTGATTTCAGCTAAAATAAAAGCAGTTTTACTTTTTTTAACAAACATTTTAAGGTCAATATTGTTAGCCCTCTTCTACAGAACAAACTATTATGTTTGGAAATGTGTTGAAACAATTTTCATTCCTTTAAACAGAAATTGGGGAAAATAAATAAACAGGGGGGCTAATAATTAAGACCTCAACTGTTTGTATTTTCAGTATTATATGTGGAGTTTATGAAGAACAAAACTCTACATTGTTGTCTGACTTCAGATATCTTGCTTTCTCCCACAGAACAAACTTGAAGGCACAGTCTGGGCAGACGTTGATGATGGCAGAGTTTTCAAAATCCTGGATTTAGAGGACATCGAGAAGACCTTCTCTGCCTACCAGAGGCAACAGGTCACTATACAATGCTTCTTTCTCTGGTTTTGACTTTATTTTCCCCCAATCCACCATGATCTCACCAACCATTTACTGTTTCTCATGCATGTTATTCATACGTTTGCCCATGATAATCCTGCATCACAGAGCATGGGGTTTGAATTAGCAGACTGTAAAATGCATTGATATCACCAGCAGTTTTCTATCAAAAACAGACATTGGCAAACCGTCCTCATTACGCCTGGTAAACCACACACTTATTCTCATTATAAAGCCATTACATACATTTCTTATGGCTTTACAGTCAAATTAGAGAAAAAGAAGAGAGGAAAAAAAACTAGTTTAGATACAGCTTGAGGCTTCTTTGCCCTTGTATGATCTTAATTTTTAAACAATGTTTAAGTTCTGTAAGCTGGTTATGAAATAAGGTTTTGAAAGCATGCTTAATACCTTAAAATAGATATTAATTGAACCTCTCCAATTGCATCAAGTACTGTACTTGAATTGTACGTATCTAATTCCATATATTTAGATATTTAAGTATAGTTTTTGCAATTAGATTTATTTGTAATTATGATTTTAATATATTACTATATAGCTGTTTTCTCACAACTGTGGCAATTTCTTGTACCCTTTGTCATACTTGTGATTATATATTTCACAACTGCAACTTGGTTGTGGTTTTAATTCTCTTAGTTGTGCTTTTTTTGCAATATTACTTCTTTATTTCTATCCCTAACTGAGAAGTATTTTGCAGCTATGAATGTATTTTTTTGTAATTGTGATTATAAATTGTAGTTACAAATTTATTGATTTTATTTTCACAATTGCAACTTAATTGTGACTTTCGTTGCTGTAGTGATTTTGCACAATTAAGACTTGATTTATCCCAAATAATTGTATCGTAATTTTGCTCAGTTGTCAATTAATTCCTCAGCATTTATGATTTTTTTATTTTTTATTGCTTAGCAATGTCTACATTATTAAAAAATAAAACTAACCTAGGTTCATTCTGATTACCTGCCCCTATATACATTTCTTGAGAGAGCAAAATATATCCCAAGAACTACATTTTTTGCAGTTTTGTTTTCGTGAATCCACCAGAGGCCGCTGTACGCTTTTTGAGATTTCAAATATCTCTCGTGAATGCCATTCTTGCCTGCTCTTCTCACGTAAATCCACCAGAGGCTGCTGTTGACTGACTTCCTGACTGACTGACCAACCAGCCGAAACCCCCACCCTCCCCCTTCCCTAAACCCAACCAATAGTATTTTGAAAAGCACCTATTGACCCGCCCACTTCCTTCCCTAAACCCAACTGCAGTGTTTTGAAAAGCGTTCCAGAAAAAAGAAAAGCCCTCGCCAGATTTTTTTAACATGTTTTCAAAATTTACCACATTCCCACCCTTTTATTTACTTGTTTATTTTATTTTTTGACTTCTTTTTTTTCATACCCACTTTCTGGAACCGTTCTTCTCTGGACTCGAACCCCTTCATCGCTGTCAACTTGGCTTTGGGTCTCAAGTCTGCCGACATATGTGTCAAGCCACCGGACCACTTGCATGCATGTGCACAGCTTTTCAGCTGTTACCAGTTTGCCCAATGGCTCACCGCGTATGTTGGCGGACTTGAGACGCAGAGAGGAGTTAACTGTGATGACGGGGTTTGAGTCCAGCGAAGAACGGTTCCAGAAAGCAGGTAAAACAAAAGGCAATAAATAAAATAAACAAGTAAATAGTGGAGTGAGAACATGGCAAGATCCTAAAACCTAGTAAAAAATTAGGTGGCCATTAGGGCTTTTCTTTTACTGGATTGCTTTTGAGAACACTTTTGTTTTTGGTTTATAATTCGTTATAACAAAAACTGCAAAAAAAAAACGTAGCTCCTTGGATGTATTTCGGACTCTTCAGTAATGTATACAGGAGTACATATCCATAATGTTTTATTACAGTTGCAAAATGATCTTTAATTTCTAGTTCAATCCATTTGTCATACCTTTATTTCTTGTTATTGTGAATGACCTTTTTAAGGTTGTGACTTTTAATTCCTGTAAATACACATTTTTCTTGTAAGTGCTACTTTTTTGAGTTTAGCTTTTTTATTGACAATAATTAATGAATTAATGAACTTTATTTTCTGTAATTGTGATTATTTCATGTAATTGCAACTTGATAACTCAACATTTCTGCTTTTTTAAAAGTATAAATTACTTAATTTGCTAAATAAATCAGACAAATCACATATATCACAGTGCATAAACTAATATTAAATTGCCTTTGCAAAGCATCTAACTTAAATATACCCTTGTTGGTGGAATTGGAGAGGTAGCTTGTTGCATTTAGCCATTGTTAAGCCATTAACCAGTCATTCTTAAACAACTAGCATGCATCTTTTAATACGCACACAAACACACATTTACAGACTACCCATAAGGCTCTGCTTTCATGCACCCTCACCCTCACGCTCACCATTCACCATCCCAATAATGTCATCATGTGCCTGTTTGAGTTTGTTTTTGGCTGAATTCACCAAACTACTGTCTCTCTAACATGTGCTGCATCTTCCTTGCTTCTTGCCTGCATTTTAGGACTTCTTTATGGTCAATAACAACAAGCAGGTAAGTGTGTTCGAACAGATGTATAGCGTTTGCATCATCTCTACCCCCTCATTCTTTCTATGTCCCATTCATTTGATTTTCAGACTGCATATGAATGTGAAAAATGTTTTTCTGTTGTTTCCAATCAGTATGATATGGTTTTATTATTAGGATGCATCAAATAATCAATTATTATCAATTGATAGGGGAAATATTTAATAATCGATTACATTATTGGTTAATCGTGTCTGCGTGCTGCTTTACAATTAACGTTTTCAAACAGACTCATAAGCATATAGTTGTATGCATCTTATACTTTTTAAATGTTAAAATATATAAAAGCATAAGTGCTTATTTTAACAATCCACAGCTCTGAAGCGTCGTGACACTTCATCCTCTCCTTCTTAATGAAGTATCGCCCAAAACTTAATTTAAATAGACATTCTTCTCCCCCTTGATGATTCAAAAAGCAAGTTTTGACTACAGTTAATAAGTAATGGCCATTTCGTGAGTTCTGGCCATCTGATACTCACATGACTATGTCAATGCTCGATTTTGATCATTTCACATTTAAAAGTGTGTGTTTGCTTTAATGTATTCATTGTATTTATACATATAATTGAAACATTGTAATGTGTGTAATTAACTGTATTTGATAAAGTCTGTAATATGTGGTGTCAAACTAGAGCTATAAGACTTCAGAAAATATTGGTTTGAATGATAAGACTACAAATAGTAGTTTATTACAAGGCTTTATTGAATTTTATAACTCCAACGCGTGTCCACGAATCTTCCCTCCGATGGGTGTTGACATCCAGGAAAAAGAGAGGTGTGGTCTCGCTCAGTAGCCACAACCAATGGACACAGTTTGGGCCAGACTAAACTATGCCCCCTATAAAACTCTGAAACCGTAAAGTTTTAAGTCTTTCGCTATTTTAAAATGATGAAAACGTCTTTGTTGAGAAACAGGTTGAATATTATGTTTTGAAGGATACAAAGATTTGAAATGAAATTTAATTATTTTGTGGCTACATTTTGATGCTTAAGTTGAGTCTTTTGATATTTTGACGAATGATTTTTGTTCTAAATATGACAGACAAAACTTTTTGGTAAAAAAAACAAAACATATTGTTAAACTGACATTTTCATTTGTGCCGTCAGTAAATCATAGTAAAATGTCATATTTAATAAAATACAGTTGTATTAAAATGTAATACAATTGTCAGTTTAATAGAAAGAGAGAGAGAGAGAGAGAGAGAGAGAGAGAGAGAAACACACGCACACACATCTAGATGACTATAATTGAATCATTGTATACAGGGCTTTCACACTTTTCACACTTTTTTTTTTACAGGGCCAGATGCGGGTAGATTTCTGCTGTGGTGGGTTAGACAGACACCGCCACTAGCCACTTTGACTGGTTGAAAGTCATTTTTAACCTGTAGTTTTCTTAAAAGCAGGGTTTGACAAAAAGTATGGCCCAATATGGGTGCAAATGTGATCGAGAATCGAGAAGCAGCATGACTGACAAAAATAACACTTGAGCAAAGGAAAGCAGGTGAATACCGAATGAGAGAATAATCACTCGCGCAAACGGCTGATGTAATTTCCTTGCTTGAAGCAACCGTGCCTAGAAACGCAACTGATGTGATCGGTTCTCTTTCAAATAGACTGGACCAGTGGTTCTCAAACTGTGGCACATGTACCATAAGTGGTACGCAGGCTTCCTTCTAATGTTACGCAGAGGAATCGCTGAATAAAAAAATTAACACACTTTTAACCCTTTGACGCGTACAATAACAATGATGTGATCAAGAAATTGATTTAATAGGCAAAACCTTTTATTTTATTTGAATTTTTCTAATGTTTGTTATGTATTCTATCATTTGATATTATTTTCTTCCCCATACTTGTAATGGTTCTTGGGGGCGTATCTTATTTTTATATCTCAATGTTGACAGGTATAGTTTAATCACTTGCTTCTCTGACACACATAGCCTACTCTAACGAGCAGTAAGCAGATCTAATTTTTAAGTTAAATATGTAAATCCAATTAATATATTTAAAATACAAGTTAACATTTAGATTTCAAAGATATACAAGTAAGTCATAGATACATGCAACATATATTTCAAAATGTATCAAACAGAGTTATATATGAATATTATGACATACGGTATAACCTATGTTTATGAGGTCCTAGAAACATTTGCAGGTTTTAATGAATAGGCTACCTTATGATAATACTTTACATTTAAGTACAGCAGTTTTCTTAATTTCAGTGTTGATGTTTTATTTATCTTTTTTTTTTTACCTGTAAGTGTGATCTTGTTCAAACTATTTATTATGTTTAAAGTGGCTGACAATGATAAATATTCATAATAATAAGAATTAATCTGTCACATTTGTACTGAGGTGGTACTTTGTGAAAAGAGTTTGAGAACCACTGCTATAGGCAATTCTATAACATCCAAAAAAAATGTTTCATAGAATTAGCTGTTGTGTGTTGTCTTAGACCCGAATCATGGCTGAGAATTAGGTTTTTTAAAGTCTGTCCTCCCTGACTCAGCATCCCTCTTCTTAGCTTCATGCAAAAAAAAAAAAAAAATCTATCTGGCTGGTCCGCGTAAGGCCCACCTAAGCTGGGGCCCACCTAAACTTTTGAATTGAATTGAATTTAATTGAATTTATTTTGAATTGAGTTGAATTGAATTGAATTGAATTGAATTGAGAGAGAGAGAGAGAGAGAGAAAATGTACTAACACCTACAACATTGACATTTGTACAATGTAATAACCAATTAGTTATTACATTACTTTACATTACATTATATACATCACTTTGCATTAAAAAAGAGTAATTCCATTGCCTTAAAAAAGACAAGATGGCTTTACTTAGAAAAAAAGACTTATAGCCTTAAAATTAAGTCAATTAATTTTTTGCATAATTATAAAAACAAATTAAAGCTAAAAAATGGAAGTGATTATTAAGTGAATTCTTGTTTTTGTTTTTTTTTTTTGTGCCAATTGATAAATTGAAACTATCTTCTATTTATGTTCCCTTTATATAAAGACACAAGATCTAAAGCTAGGATGAAATGTTTTCATTTAAAATGTTTCAAAACTCAACATGTATATTAAAAAGAACATTACACTTAATGTCAAAGAAACACAATATTAGAAAAGTCGTAAATGCTATTTAGTATTAGTATAATGCTATTGCTATTTTTAGTAGCTCTATTTTTTTAAGTTTAAATACTGCAGCATATCTTTTTTTATGTCTTTTAGCAGCTTTCGGAATGGGTTTGTTTGTAGCAAAGTCAACTAATCACCTTAAACAGTGATGGTTCAGTTTTTAGGTGCATTGATGTAAATATAGGTTGTCAATCTTCTTTTGAGTGAAATGTGTCTGATTTGAACTCTGACCACAGAAAGAGACTGAGGACGATACGTTGAGCTCCAAGAAAGTCAAAGAGCTTTCAGTCATCGATGGCCGACGGGCTCAGAACTGCAACATCCTTCTGTCACGGTGAGTGATGTGTCTGCACCGCTATGAGCTCTCGTGTGTATGTACTGTATGTGTGTTTGTGTGTGTGGCATTTCCAAGCTTGTAGCTCCAACATTCCTGTTTAATACTATATCGTCTACTTTAGTTATTGTACCATTTCATATCAATGAAAGACATGCAGTACCACCACGCAGTTTCTTCACATATATATGAGCAGGGTTTCCTTGAATTCTATGTAAATTAGTGCAGCATGGGCCTGAACAGGAACCATGTCTCATTATATAGAAATCTTAAAAATCATAACAAATCATGGTTGAAAGACATTCGCACACATAAGGAATTAGAAGCTCCACAGATTGCAGTGGTTTGAGATGCGCATATTTGAAAATGTTTCACACATGACCGCCCTTTTGGTGGTTTGTTAAATATTTAGGCTAATTTGATTATCCTTTTAGCTACTAAAAAGGGGAACAATGTCTTCTATTTTATGCACTGTTAAAGATTAGGGCTAGTATTAGTATTAGGGTTAGTAATTTTTTTTTTTGAAGTCAGAATTATTAGCCCCCCTAAATTATTATCCCCCCTGTTTATTTTTTCCTCAATTTCTGTTAAACTGAGAGGAGATTTTTTTCAACACATTTCTAAACATAATAGTTTTAATAACTCATTTCTAATAATAATATTTCAAATAATATTTGACTAGATGTTTTTCAAGAAACTTCTATACAGCTTGAAGTGACATTTAAAGGCTTAACTAGGTTAATTAGGTTAACTAGCAAAATTAAGGTAATTAGGCAATTATTGTATAACGATGGTTTGTTCTGTAGACTATCGAAACAAATATATAGCATAAAGAGGCTAATAATATTGACCTTAAAATGGTGTTTAAAAAATCTAAAACTGCTTTTACTCCAGCCGAAATAAAGCAAATAAGACTTGCTCCAGAAGAAAAAAATATTTTCAGACATACTGTGAAAATTCCTTGCTCTGTTAAACATCATTTGGGAAATATTTAAAAAAAAAAACTATTCAAAGGGGGGCTAATAATTCTAACTTCAACTGTATATTTTAAAACATCTATTCAGTATAAATGCAATACATTGTTCAATACATTGACAATAAAGACAGTTCAAGGGTAAATTATTAGCACTTCTGGAAAGTCTGTGTTTTTTGTGAAATATTTCTCAAGTGATGTTTAATGGAACAAGGACATTTCAACAGTGATTCTTATAATATTTTTTCTAAAGAAAATCTTATTTGTTTTAGTTTGGCTGGAATAAAACAAATAAAAGAAAAAAAAAATTAAAGGTCATTATTATTAGCCCGTTTAAGAGTTTAACCACAAACCACAGTTAGCCAATGACTTGCTTATAATTAACTAACCTAGTTAACCTTTAAATTGCACTTTAAGCTGAATACTAGTATCTCAGAAATAACTAGAAAAATAAAACAATTACAATTTCACAGGAAGGCTACCATTTTGCCTTCAACTTTATAAGTAAATGTTTATAGTCATCAAAGAAATTAATTTCACAAAAGGATTGAAATCTATTTTCAATAGTATTTATTCAGCAACAAATCAGCATACTAGAATGGTTTATAAAAACCATATGATTGAGAATTACACATTTAATAAGTTCAATGTATTTAAATGCAATTGTCACTCCTGAAGCATTACAATAATCATGCGACATGTATGTTCCCTTGAATAAATTGGCCATTTCACATTCTTAAAAAAAGATCAGCATTTCTCTTGAACTATGTGCACTGTGCACACTGTAACAAAAACCTGTAAAATTTACAGCTTCTTATTTGGATTTTTTTGTTTGCAAGCACACTGTAAATAAATAATTACACTTATGCTGTATCTTAACAGAACACATGTAATTATTAGTTTACAATGCACTTTTAAGTTTACAGTTTTGGCAACCGAATTTGCCAGTAAGTTACTGTAAATTTTACATTACATTTTTTTACAGTGCATTGTGAAATGCACTGTAAAAACATTGTGAAATGCATTAGAGTTATATGATTTTAAATCAGCCTGTTCCATGATCTCAATTTAATCTTTAAATAATATTTTGTCAACTCAAATCCCAGAAAATATAGGCCCGGTTTCACAGACAGGGCTTAGACTAGCCAGGATTAGGCCAAAGTTCAATTAGAACATTTAAGTAATTTTTATAAACATGCTTAGAAAAAAAAAAAAACTATTTTGGTGTGCATTTTGAGACAAAACAAAGGAACTGATATATTTAAATCACAATCAATGCAATTTTAATTCAGTCAAAACAGCCCAGACTTACATTTTAGTCTAGAACTAGGCTTAAGCCTTGTCTGTGAAACCAGGGCATAATGTTATTATTTAGATGATCAAGCCTCTTTAAGGCAAAATGTATGACACAATAAAAGAAATCGCTACCGCTGGTCTTGGTTGTAGATCTCCTGGGTAGGTGACTATTATTCAGGGTTTAAGTTTCTACTGTTTATAGTTTTATAGTGGTGACTGAAGTGCAGGAATGAGCTAAATTAAAACAGTCCTCCATGCAGAGCTTAATGCTTTAATTATCCAGGATTCCTGCTGAGTTTCTCTTTCTCAGTGGCAGTGTTTTTTCCGAATGGATGGTTTTTATTAGAGGATCCGATTCTTATTTTAGGTTAAGATATCTGCTTGTCACTTCAGCACCGCCTTATCTGTAAGTGGAACAGTTGCTCGCAGCTGCCAATCCAGATGCTGGCAGATGAATGACAGCTCACCGAATTACTGCGGTTTGGCATGAGACCCAAACACGTCAAAGGTTCCTGCAAAGCAAGACTCCATATAAAACAAACCAGGCACATTCCAGAATTGCCAGACTTGCTCAAAAATCTATGACCAATTGTGATCTATAGATTCTAAAACACATTTAGGTGAGACACTGCACACAAAAACTGTCAATTTTTTTTTTTTTCGTGTTTTTTTGTAAAGTTTTGTCAAATTTAGTCTAATTTAATGAAAGTTTCCAAAATACATATTTAAAAGTTACTGTTGTCAATTTGTGGTTTAAATTTAATTAAATTAATTAATTTAAATAAAATTTGGATGTAAATTAAAACTAGTATTTTTTGTCATCACTTGCACACACCAAACATGATGTTTTTGTTTTATTTATATCTATATTCTGAAGGTTTTTACACATTGAAACCTTTTATGTTCATACACAGTTTGCCTTATTATATTATTCTACAGAACATTGTGAAAATGGATTGTTTTTCAGAATATTCACAGTATTTTCTAAATAATAGTGATTAAAATAGATTCCCAAAATCTCCTCTATAAAAACTATCTGGTCTAAGATGTCAGAAAATAAAACAACATTTTTTTTGTTCTCATTATTTTGGTCGAGCTATTTGGAAATCAGTGCATATTTGTGTGTCTGGACCAGTCATAGGGTACAATTTTGGAAATTAAGATTTCAACCATATGAAATTGGAATAAATAAGCTTTCCATTAAAATTGTGAGGAAAGGACAGTATTTAGTGGAGATACAACTTGAAAATCTGGAATCTGGCAAATTTGAAAATCTGGAACCTGAGGACTCAAAAAAATAAGTTGAGAAAGATTCTTACCTATGCATATTACTAATTAAAAATAAAGGCTGTGATATACAGATGAAGTCAGAATTATTAGCTCCCCTGAATTATTAGGCTCCCTGTATATTATTTATTTATTTCTGTTTAACGGAGAGAAAATTTTTTCAACACATTTATAAAAATTATTAGCTTTACCAGTTTTAATAACTAATTTCTAAAAACTGATTTATTTTATCTTTGCAATGATGACTAAATAATATTTGACTCGATATTTTTTAAGACACTTCTATACATCTTAAAATTACACTTTAAAGGCTTAACTAGGTTTATTAGGTTAACTAGACCACTTAGAGTAATTAGGCAAGTTATTGTATAAAGATAGTTTGTTCTGAAGACTATCTAAAAAAAAGATAGCTTAAAGGGGCTAATAATTTTGCCCTTAAAATGGGTTTTAAAAAATTACAAACGGCTTTTATTTAATTTGTAATAAAACAAATAAGACTTTCTCCAGAAGAAAAAATATCATCAGACATACTGTGAAAATGTGCTTGCTCTGTTAAACATCATTTGGGATATTTAAAAAAATAACAAAAAATAAAAAAATAAATGAAAGCAATTTAATACTTCTGATTTCGACTGTCTAACAGTTTGAAATTTACAATTGCCTTGATGGAACATGACCCTGATGTAATATTCTAATGATTTTTGTCATGAAAGAAAAATCGACCATTTTGACCCATACAATGTGTTGTTGGCTATTCCCACAAATATACCTGTGCAACTTCTGTAACACAACAAAATCTTTATGCAATCAGTCATCTGGAGAAGTATGGTTGTAAAGTCACCCTATTCACCTGCAGTATCTTGCCGTAACATCCAACATCTGTCTTTCGTCACCATCTGTAGATTTCAGTCTGTGCTTCGCTTCCATTCTCATCCTCTCTCAAGGGTCTCCACAAGCACAAATTAGGGTGTGATTCATTGTACAGCCACCGACCGGACCACCCAAGCTGAGATTCACAGGGTTTTGGAGAGGAAGCCTGTAGAGTCATTAGTGTTGGTTTAGTGTTGGTGAATGTGGTGCTGGACGTCAGAGCAAGAGATGGTGGTCTGGACAGATGAGACTGAGCAGTAACATATGTTCAGTGAATGCGAATTACAGCTCAGTTCCTATTTGTCTTTTTAGTGTTGACAGTTTTCAGTCGGAGGAGGAAATTAAACTTTTGAAGGCGGACATAATAAAGCATAATAATAGCAGTGTTTGTGTGCAGTGTTGGGGGAAAAGCGTTATAAGTAAATAATATTACTTTCCTACTTTACTATTCCTTAAAAATAAGCAATATTATTTGAGTTACTTTTAAAAAAAATGTACTGCGAGTTACTTTTTACCTTGTTTAATACCCTTTTAAAAATATTTTGCGGAATGAAAATTACCTTACTTAGGTTAA